TGGTCATCCTGCTTTCTTTTATTTTTCATTTTGAGAAACAAATAAAATTTCGTTTCGTTTCGTTTGTGTGTGTGTGTGTGTGTGTATGTAGTGTGTTTGTGTGCATGATTCAACAATACGACGAGAAAAACAACCTGCGACAAAAGATACTGATGAAATTGTGACGTCATATAAACCGGAAAGACCCTGCGATCCTCAAATACAGGATCGTTCGATGAATGAATGATGGAGGAATCGTAATCCGCAAAGTCGAAGAAGCGGTAAACGAAGTAAGGTGAAGGCTGTTTGGCTGAGATGGGTTATGGTAATGATTGTGATGGTAGTGATGATAATTATTGAGATGATGATGATGATGGTGGTGGTAATGATGATAGTAGCGATGTTGAAAAGTATGGAAGTGACTGGGATAATGAAATTGGAAAGCTAAAACAACCGACAAATCTACAGTCAATCATTTAATCAATCAACCAACCAGTCAACTAACCAACCAACCAGCCAGCCAACCAACCAACCAATCAACCAACCAACCAACAAACCATTGTTATCTAGAGACATAACATTAGAGCAAGACCTAACGACAACAATCAAGTTATTAATATTATCGTCTGGCCTTTTGGTAGCCACGGCGTCAAGAGGCTGTAGCAGCTGCTGCTGGTGATGCTTCAAATTACTTTCAATGTATCCAAGAGCTTTACTGCGTTCCTTTGTTTGTGAATGCATGGTTTGTAGTTATAATGTAACATAAGAGAGATAGATAGACACACAGACAAACAGACACACAAACAAACATACAAACAAACAAACATACAAAAACAAACACACACACAGACTGACAAACAAACAAACAAACATATACAGAAAAACAGGCAGACAGACAGGTGTGGTTCCTATAAGTTTGTCTGTCTGTCTCTCTAGACAGACAGACAAACAAACACATACAGACAAACAGACAGACAGACAGACAAACAGATAGATAGACAGACACCTTATAAAGTCTTAGAGCCTGTTCCATCGGAACAACCAACCTCACCCAATATTCGACCACGCCAAAGGTTACGTGAGTCTGTCCTTCCTGCGCTCCTGATAACGATCATTGCAATGATGATGATGATGATGTTGATGATGATGATGGTGGCGATCATGGTAATGATGAAGGTTGTATTATTCAACTTTCAATTGTTCTTTGCAAGACTTCCGCTCGATTTTATCACTCATCGTCATCACAATCACCACCACCATCATCATCATCATCATCGGCATCATCATCATCGTCGTCACCATCAACATCATCACCACAGTCACGATCATCACCACCATCATCGTCCCAACAGACCACAAAGGTATATGGTGCCATGGAGCCTGCCATTTGACTTCTGCAGGACTCCAGCCAGTTTGATCTTCCCGGTGGCTATAGTTCTATAATCAGAGCCTAAACATTGATGTAACTCCAGTAAGCAGCTGTCCTGATTGTGATGTCGATGTTGTTGCTGATGATGATGACGACGATGATGATGATGATGATGACGACGATGATGATGATGATGATGACGACGTTGATGATGATGATGATGATGATGCAAATGATGATGACGATGGTGAGAAAGATGACGACGATGACATGATGATATCAAAATATGTCTATGTAACCGTTTCTACTACTACTACTACTGCTACTACTGCTACTACTACCGCTACTACTACTACCGCTACTACTACTACTACTACTACTACTACTACTGCGACTGCTACTACTACTATTACTACTGTTACTATAATAATAATAACAACAACACGAACGAACTTTATGCAGGTAGTGTATGAAAAAGTCATCCACATCGATCACGTACTGAGAAGTGAAGCCAAAATCCATTCTGTGCGTGTGCGTGCATGTGCGTGTGTGTATGTGTAAATACGTATGTATGTATGTATGCATGGGTGCATGTATGTATGTATTCATACACAGACACACACATACAGACATATCCCATACACAAATACATACATACCCATGTATACAAAAAAGAGGCAATACATACACGTACACACACTCGCAAACACACACACACACACACACTCGCAAACACATACACAAGCATACACATACACACACACACACACACATACCTTGGCCCAACCAATACAGGTGTCGATTGCAATTCGAAATCATAAAACTCCCAAGTGCAGAATATATGCGGTCGTATGTCATTCAAATGTCTCAGACAATCTTCAGACAGCAGCACCTCGTAATTATTAATTATAAAATTATAAATTATAATAATTATAAAACTATAGTTATTATAATTATAAAATTATAATTATTATAAACACCAAGCCCTCTATGACCTCTCTGTGGCTCTCGACAGGCAAATAAGCTAGTGGTTTTTATTGACATTTCATTGTTTTACCAATTCATTGTTACACCATTTCTTTCTTCCACCATTTCATTGTTTCACCATTTCAATGTTTTAACCATTTCATTGGCCTGGCTTTGAAAATAGAAGATCTCTCATTTTATTAACATCATCCTAGCTTACTGATTTGATATGTATCTCGAACATGTTCTGCCCATTCTCTAGGACTACGTCTGCCTCATCATGGCTCTCGGCTCCTGATAACTTTTGATATAATAATAATAATAATGATAATAATAATAATAATAATTTGAACTCTTTTATTATTGCAGAAGACATAAAATCAAATCAAAATAGATAAAATGAAATAAAATAAAATAAAATGTTAATATTGTAATAAATTGTTAATATTGTTATGCACGATCCTCCTATATTATAATAATAATAATAACAACAACATTAATAATAATAACAACAACAATAATAATAATAACAATAATGATAATAACAATAATAATAATGATAATAACAATAATAATAATAATAATAATGATAAATTTACTATGTGATCTTGACTGAGTTTATACTGCTTCGTCCCGTATGCAATGTCTTTTAATTGCATCTCCAGCTTCTGTCGTGTTGTTGAAATTATTGTTGTTGTTATTATTATTATAATAAATATTATTATTATTTACAACAGAATGATCAATCAATCAACCGATCATTTCAATCAATCATTTCAATCACTCAATCAATCTCTCAATCTATCCCTCAAACAATCACTTCTATCAATCATTTCAATCAATCAATCATTTCAATCAATCAATCATTTTAATCACTCCAATCAATCATTTCAATCTCTCAATCTACCACTTCAATTAATCATTTCAATCTATCACTTCAATCAATCATTTCAATCTCTCAATCTATCACTCATTTCAATCAATCATTTCAATCAATCCTTTCAATCAATCCTTTCAATCAATCATTTCAATCAATCATTTCAATCAATCATTTCAATCAACAATCAATCATTTCAATCAATCACTCAATCAACCAATCAATCAACCAGCCCTAATTCTTTCGGCTCTGATATCCAGGAGTTGTGCGTATTCATCCAGCTGGCATTCATGCTCCCGCCTCATTTCCTCAGCTTTTTTGCTAATTGTGTCTAACTGGATGAATGAATGAATGAATGAATAAATGAATGAATGAATGAATGAATGAATGAATGAGTGAATAAGTGAATGAATGAATGAATGAATGAATGAATGAATGAATGAATGAATGAATGAATGAATGAATGAATGAATGAATGAATGAATGAATGAATGAATGAATAAATGAGTGAAAGAACGAATAAGTAAAAAAAAGAATAAATGAGTGTTTGAATGAATGATTAATTGAATGAATGGATGAATAAACGAACGAACTTATGAATGAACAAGTGAAATATAAAATCAATGAAAGAGTGAATAAACGAATGAATGAATAAATAAATGAATGATAGAATGAATGAATGAATTAATTAATTAATGTACACTAACCTCAGTTTGGTATCCTTTATTTATTTTGTACTGGACAATCAGAAGGTTTCTCGTTTTTTCAAGCTCGCATATTGTTTCAGTCAACTGGGCTTGCAATGACTTTACTGCATTTTGTGGGCATATTCGCGGTTAATTAATCAATTAATTGAATAATTAATGAATGAATGAATTAATTAATTCATTCATTCATTCACTCATTCAGAATTAATTAATTAATTAATTAATTAATTAATACAATATAGCAATTTTTTAATTTTTCTTATTCATTATTTTCATCTTTATGTTAGTTCGTTCGTTCGTTCCATCGTAATTAATGAATGAATGAATGAACGAACAAATGAATGAACAAACGTATGAATGAATGAACAAACATACATAACACAAAAACCAACAAACAAACACGAAAGCCAGCAAACAAACAAACGTGCCAAAAACCGTCATAAAAATAACATAATGAATAACTAAATAAATATATAAACCATACCGTCATCTTTGTCAACATCGTCATCAACATTTTCTACGAAATCCGGCTTGGCGATTTTAAAGCCGGAGATGACGTCACCATCGAGTTCGCCATTGGTTTTTTTCTGTTTAACGATAGCTAAGGCCTCTATGAAATCCGTATTCGTTATCATTCCATTCTAGATCGTAGTTTATTATTATTATTATACCTTAGTTATAATAATAATAATTATCATAATTAATTATAATGATAATTATAACCTCGTCAAAGATACCAGCTTGCTCGTGTAGTATTTCATAATTTTTTTTCAGCTCATGATATTTTATTTTGATATCCCTGTATTCTATCATTATTTTGTCGTTCTGCTCTGTGTGATTATGTGTATGTGTGTGTTTGTGTGTGTTTGTGGTGTGTGTTTGTCTTGTGTGTGTGTGTGTACGTGTAAGTGAGGTCATTTTTTGTAATGTTGAAGTTGATTTGTTTTTTATGCTTAGCTGTTTGCGATTGTGTGTGGGATAAAGACAGAGACAAAAACAGACAGGCAGGCAGAAGACAGATAGACAGACAGACAAACAGACAGGCAGGCAGGCAGACAGACAGAAAACAAACCCACCCCTCTCTTTAGCCAATTTTTCAAGAATGACCCCCTTGTCTCCAACATCGGCTTTCATGGCCGCCTCCAACTGGGCTATCTGGATTTTGAGGGCCGTCTCTCGCTTATCCGACTGTCCGCCATTTTGTTTTTCTTGCATTCCTTCTCTGATTAGGCGCGAATTTGAATCCTTCAAGATGGCGCATTCGCGCTCTAAATCAGCTATACGCATCTCTAACTGTTGAGTTGGTAATTGGTTAATTAGTCGGTTAATTAGCTAATTAATTAACTGATAATAATAAAAATAATAATGGTAACATAATAACGATTAATAATAACGATCGGACCTCTCTACTAGAGACTTTAATCTGTTTATTACTATCCAGCTGTTTTTGCAGCTCGATTACTCTGTTCTCTTCAGCCCTCGCCTGCATTTGAAGCCGGTTGATCTCGTCTAACGCTTGCTCGTTTATCCTTTTTAGCTCTTGCATTTTCTGGTTTGGTTGTTGTTGTTGTTGATGGTGTTGTTGTTGTTGTTGATGGTGTTGTTGTTTGTGTTGTTTATTTTTGAGACTTGTTTACTGAAGAACGAAAGAACAACAACAAGAAGAAAACAATTATAAAAACAAACACACAAACCAACATACAAACAAACCTTCAAACAAACAAACCATCTACCAAACAAGCCATTAAACAAACAAACAAACAAACAAACAAACAAACAAACAACAACATACATCTTTCAGATCAGCATTTTGATCGTGCAGCTGTTGCAAATTCATATTCCTCTCCTTCAAGTCTCTTTCCAACTTTATTCGCTCCACATTTTCATGTACAACATTCCTAAAGAAACAAACATAAACAAACATACAAAAACATACACAAACATAGAAGAACATACATAAACATAGAAGAACATATATAAACATAGAAGAACATACATAAACATAGAAGAACATAAATAAACATAGAAGAACATACATAAACATAGAAGAACATAAATAAATATAGAAGAACATAAATAAACATAGAAGAACATACATAAACATAGAAGAACATACATAAATATAGAAAAACATACATAAACATAAACCAACATACATAAAAATAGAAGAACATACATAAACATAGAAGAACATACATAAACATAAAAGAACATACATAAACATAGAAGAACATACATAAGCACAAACATACATGTACCTAAACAAGAACATACACAAAGATAAATTTGCACATGAAATAATTTTTGTTGGACACAAATTTTTAGCCAATATGAACTATTTCTTCCCATCCCACTTTCTCTTTCTCCTTTCTCTCTCTCTCTCTCTCTCTCTCTCTCTCTCTCTCTCTTTCTCTCTCTCTCTCTCTCTATCTATCTATCTATCAATCTATCTTTCACTAAAATAATAATGACGAGTATGAAGTTAGATTTGGATGTCATTAAATAATAATAACAATGTAAATAATAATAATAATAATAATAATAATTAAAATAGTAACAATAACAATAATAATAATAACTTTTGATCGTCGTTAAGTTTAGACTTCAAATAGCTAATCTCTTTAGAGTGTTCGCTGTCCGTAAGAAGAATCTGGAAATAAGTAAAAAAAAAATGTATTATGATTATTATTCTTTTGATTATTATTATGATTATTATTGTTATTGTTATTATTGTTGTTGTTGTTATTACTATTATTATCGTCATCATCATCAGGATAATACCTGCTGCTTCAGGGCAGCAATAATTGACTCATACTCGTCAAACTTCTTTGCGTTTTCATTCATCATGTGGTCTCTTGGATGATGATGATTATTATTATTAATATTATTATTATTATTATTGATATTATTATTATTGTTTATTTGTTTACTTAATAATTATTTATTACAAATTTGAATGCCATAATGAAAGTAGAGTGCTACCAACAGTTCGGATTTATCGACCATGTTGACGTTGGGTGCAGTGTCTCCGCTATAGGCGTGTTTGTTTGTGTATTGTATACTTTATTGTTTGTATGTTTGTTTGTTTGTATGTTTGTTAGTTTGTATGTTTGTTTGTTTGTATGTTTGCATGTTTGTCTCTTACTTTGTTCGTTTGTATGTTAGTATGCGCACATAGATGAATGAATGTATAAATGTATGTATGTACTTACACATATACACACACACATACACATACACACACACACACATACACTAATTGATCAGGACTGCTGCTATAGAACTGTTGTTGAAGTTGCTGAGGTATGTTTAGCTGAGATTGGGATAGTCTTTGCGTGGTTCTGCGAAGAAAAATAGAAAAATCATTCTTTTATTCATTTATCATTCATTCATTCATTCATTCATTCATCCATCCATCCATCCATTCATTCATTCATTTATTCATTCATTCATTTATTCATTCATTTATTCATTCATTTATTCATTCATTCATTAATTCTGTTTGTACTAACTTTGACGCTTTGAACTGCTTCTGCTGAACGATCTTCCTGACGTTCTTTATGATCTTTGGATCTATATTCTTCAAAACACCCTTTGATTAATAACAACAAATGAAACAATGGAACAATAACAATAATAATAAACACAAATACGTACACACACATACACATACACACACACGCACGCACGCACACACACACACAGACCGTATCAACTCTAGATGACACATATCCATACATCAAGTTGGACTGCGGCTGAACGACGGTTTGCTGCTTTAAAACTGCCACCTAGAAAATGAAAATAAACTATTTCATTTTATTTTTACTTATAACAACATTAATAACTACAATAACAATAATAATAATAATAATAATAACTTTCATTCTTAAATTTTCGTTATTCTTCTCTAGCTGGCAGACTCTGTCTTGCAACTGCTCTATCTGATCAATGTAGTGGGTTTCTGGAATTCTTTTGCCTTTGTTGTTATTGTTATTGTTACTATTTTTATAATTATTATTATTAATATTATTAATATTATTATTGTTATAAGTATTATTATTATTATTACTCTTAATAATATTATTATTAATATTATTATTATAACCGTCCGAATCAACCAATAACTTCTTCCTGTCATTCTCAAGTCTCAACTGTATGGCCCCCAATCTGTTGAGATGGATATTTATAAAATGAATTTAAACAAAAACATGCATATACATACAACATACACATATACAAAAACAAACCAACGAATGAACAAGCTAATGAACGAACGAACAAGCTTATTAACAAACAACCAAACGAATGAAACGATCAAACAGACAAACAAACAAAGATACAGAACTAATAAACAAAACACAAAGAATTAAAATCACCGAAGACCTTTTAATTTCTTCATCTCTTTTTCGGCCATATTTTTTCAGCACTATATTTTCATCATAGAGGGTCAGGTACCTATCCTCTAGCTCTGTACGGTCCATCTTCAATACGGCCTGCCTACTTAGAGCTGATTTCATATCTATGGTGGTCAGTTAGTCAATTGGTTGGTTGGTTTGTAAGTTATTTGGTTCATTGTTTAGTTGAATAATTGGTTTTTTGATGTATGACGTTTGTTATGGCCTTTTGATTTTCTAAGTTGGTGCTGGAGACTGGTTGGTTGGCCGCTTGGCTGATTTGTTGGTTGATTTGATTGAATTGATTGATTAGTTGCG